CTCACATGCTCATCCAACCACACTGCTGCGCCCTGCTACACGCCACGTCTACACTGCTACAGGGCCCCCGCCAGCAGTGCAGAGGGCCCGATAAGCCCCACGTGCAAGGAGACCCCACGAGGAAAGTCACACTCATCCGCCCTTCAGCACCCATCGCGTTGTCTAGCCCTTCACACACAGTGTTGCCTCAGGCATGGCCCAGCCTTGAGGAGATCCCCCCAGAGGTGCCTCTAACCCCGAACCCCGGGAGGCCTCCCTGTCTTGTTTCTGGCAGAACAGCATCTACTCTGCCTCCAGCACATCCAAGTTCCTCAAGGGTTCCCTGCCTCTCCCATGTGCCTGACGGTGTCCTACAGAGGCCCTGCATGGAGGGACAGGCATGTGGGGCTCTACTGTAAGCCTCCAAGTATCCTGTGGCAGGGGCATCACGGCAGCCAGCACTGGCTGGACCAGGAGGACATGCCCAAAGACCATCTGTTACGCGAAAAGGCACGAATGGAAATCAGGCTACAAACAGCAAGCACCTCCTCTGGGCCAGGCAAAGACAGCTAGGGACTCAAAGAGGAACACGGCACAAAGACATGGACAGGAAAGCCTACCACAGCCTGCCTGGGAGCCCAGAGACCGGCCCCACGTATGTGCCCACTCAAGGAGACTGTGGCCCGCACATGACACAATACTGGGTGGCAGCTCCAAATGTGAGATGGCCTATGTTCCTCACAGGGAAACTTCTGTAAGACTTAGCGTCAGCAAAAAACCCCAAGTTGCTGAAAAGCATGTGTGCACGTACACACGCACACACAATTTTCTCAAGCTGCATGACAAACTTGTCTGATTTTGCACACACACCCCTGAAAAAAGAGAACAACCCAACCATGCAACAGAAGCACCTCTGAGAAGGCCACCTGTTCCATTGTGTGTCTGGACTGTTTGCAGTGACAATGTGGTCCCATGTGACTCACACAATTTTCAGAAATTGTCATTAAAAAATAACGGGAGGTTTAAAAAAAAAAACAACAAAATGGGACATCTGAGTGGCTCAGTTGGTTGAGCATCCATCTTCGGCTGGGGTCATGATCTTCGGGTCTGTGAGTTCAAGCCCCGCATCAGGCTCTCTGCTGTGAGCTCAGGGCCTGCTGCAGATCCTCTGTCCCTCTCTGACCCTCCCTGGCTTGTGCACTCACTCTCTCTCTCTCTCTCTCTCTCTCTCTCTCTCTCTCAAAAATAAATAAAGATTGGGGCACCTGGGTGGCTTAGTCAGTTGAGCGTCCGACTTCGGCTCAGTTCATGATCTCAAGGTTCGTTCAAGCCCCACGTCAGGCTCTGTGCTCACAGCTCAGAGCCTAGAGCCTGTCTTCGGATTCTGTGTCTCCCTCTCTCTCTCTCTCTCTCTCTCTCTGCCCCTCCCCACCTGCGCTCTCTCTCCCTCTCAAAAATAAACAAACATACATTTACAAATAAATAAAGATTAAAAAAAATAATAATGGGAGGGTCCCCTAGTCCAAGCCCTTGAGGATGATGAGGGGAGCTGCCCAGAAAGCCCCTTGGGTGAGTGACACCAAGGATTGGTGGCCCAAGACAGTGGGGTCTTTGAGGGACGGCAGGCCAGGGTGCCAGATGCCCCTGCCTTCACCCTCCCTATACCTCCTCACAAGTGCTAGTAGCCCGGTGCCTTTAGCACCCAGGCTAAGGCATCAAACCCCAATGCACACTGGCAGGGAGAAGAGCCAGCCTGCTCCTCCCGACCTACAGCCCCAGCTGTCAGTGACATGGCCCCATCCCAGCAGAGTCAGCTGAGGGGGCCCTAAATGCTCCTCTGTAAATATGGCAGGCAACCTTGGTCACATCTGCTAGACATATTTGCGTGCTGAGAGCGCACAGGGTCAGCACTCTCTGGGTATGAGGCAGGGTGCATCCACCCTGAGGGTCCCCACACAACAGTGGCAAGGACAGGGCAGGGTGGGCTCAGCAAAGGCCATCCTGTCACCAAGAAGCTGGGAGCACGTGTCCCTTGAGTACAGGGATGCAACGGGGGTATAAGTGTCTGTTTGGCCTCGGGCTGGAGAAACACGAGGAGCCCCAACCCACCTCCACAGAGAAGAGCTGAGAGAGCAGAGGTGGCCAGGACTTGGGCTGGAGAGCACCCGAGGGTGGTAAAAGCAGCGGGTCATTGGGGAAGCACAGAGAAACAAACAGCTGACACAGAGGAGGTAAAAACACCCAAAACATCCAGTCCGTTCTGGGTGTAGCCTGTATCTGCAGGGGCTTCCGGCTACAGGGAGGCACTGCCTATGTGCCAGGCTCACCCAGGGCTCTGGCAGCCTCCTCTCCCACAGGCAGCCTGACTGCCCTTCTACAGAACTCATTTTCTAGACGGCCCCAGAAACCACAGGAGCTGCTACGGGGAGTGAGCCCAATGGGGAAGGGGCCTGGAGCACCCAGCTGCCAGTTCAGATGCGCTCCAGCTCTGAGGTGCCAGCCTCTTAAACTCTATCGTTTGGAAGGGTAAGCAGCCCACCCATGAGGAAGAAAGGGAGGTTGGGTCTCTCTTTACAACATTACTGTGTAGTCTTTGAGGGCAAATACCAGCAATGTAAGAGGGGAGAAGAAGGGAAGTTCTTTTCTTTCTTGAGAGAGGGAGAGAGAGAGTACACGCAGAAACAGGGGAGGGAGCACAGAGCCCAATGTGGGCTCAATCCCATGACCATGAGATCATGACTTGAGCCAAAATCAGGAGTTGGACACTTAACCAACTGAGCCAACTAGGTGCCCCAGGAGGCTGTTTTCTTGAGCACTTACCATATGCCAGATCCTGAAGTAGGGTCGCTATATCCCATTATATAACTTGATCCCTACAATACTCTTCAAGGCAGGTAGTAATGGTAGCTCATTTTATAAAGGAACCCAGGGAAGGGGAGCCTGGGTGGCTCAGTCGGTTAAGCATCAGACTTCAGCTCAGGTCACGATTTCATGGGCCGTGAGCTCAAGCCCCATATTGGGCTCTGTGCTGACAGCTCAGAACCTGGAGCCTGCTTCAAATTCTGTGTCTTCCTCTCTCTCTGCTCCTCCACTGCTTGCCCTCTCTCTCTCAAAAATAAATAAACATTAAAAAAAAATTTTTTTTTTTAATAGAGGAACTCAGGGAAACTAGCTAGCTGCCTAGCTCTAACTTCAATTTGGCAGCCACAGAAAAAAGGTTTGCAGAACACTGACAAAGAGTTCTTACAAATCAAAAAGGAAAGGACTAACAACCTAATAAGAAAATTAACAGGAGTAGAAATGGCACCGAAAAAAACTAAAACTGTGAAACTGCTAATGTGATATCATGGGCAATCCCACTAATAATAAATGAAACATGATAACACTTTTCACCTACCAAACAGCAAATAAATATGAAAAAAAGTAACAGTGTGGAAGAGGTCTGAAAAAAATGAATCTAAGTTTAGGAACGTGGGCTGGATCTTTGGATGGTACTATCTTTCTTCTAGAACTTTAAAGGCACCACAAACTCTTTGACCAGGAAATTGTTTCTAGGAATTTACCCTCTGAATGGATCCCCACATTGGCAAAGATGTATATATGAAACACAGTAACAACAAAAGACTGGAAACCACCTAAATGCCCATCAATGGGGGATGGGCAGGTAAGTTGTGGCACATCCACATGTCAGGAATACTATGCAGCTACTAAAATGAATGAACAAGTTCTAAAACACTCTCCAAGATATGTTCTTAACTCAAAAAACAAAAAACAAAAAAAAAAAAACAAAAAACAAAGGTCAGAAGCACAAATACTTAGTCCTTTGGGTACATTTCTGCTCACTGGCTTATACATAAGCAGACACCCTCTGCAAGGACACACGCAGGATGAGGAACAGTGGCTGCTGTGGGTGATGGCTGTGGCCTGGGCATCTAGGCAGGAAAGAGTTTCTCTTTCTCTGCCAATCCTTGGTCCTGTGTAGGCTGACAGCATCTACTGCTTGTCTATAAAATACCCACAGAGAGAGATGGTAAAGGCAGGGCTCCCAGGCTCCATGGCCCCTGCCTGGCCACTAGAAGGTCATAGCCTGGAGAGGGGAAGAGCCACGGACCCAAACATGTTACCACCTGGCTGGCTCTCAGTGGGGAGGCCCCTACTGCCACGTGCCTCAAGAACCAGCCTTTGACACACCCCTCCAGCCCCAAGACCTACTCTCCTCAGCTCCTGTCCAGGCCAACCCCACCCTTCAGTTTTTATACACATAACAGGGAATCCGGGAAAACAGAGAAGCAACCATAGCTCAGAGGGTCTGGGTAACTTGCCAAAGCCACCCAGCTGGGAGCTGGCTGTCCTGGGAGGGGTGGATGGAGACTTCCAGGTGGAAGAGTGAGGGGTCAGCTATCTCTGTGCAGGACACAGCAAATGAGGGAAGGCTGGGCACAGGTGGGGTGGCCAGACAGGGTAGATGTGGGCTTAAGGGGGCCTCAGGGATGGAAAGCAGACAAGCCTTGGTGACAGGCCATGTCCTGGCCAAGGGGTGGGTCTCTATGCCACATAGAACGTCAATGCTGGAAGGGCACCGAAAGCCCAGCACTGTCCAAACTTGTTTTTCAGGCAGTAGACACGGCTTCAGTCAGAATCTCCTAGGTGCCCAAGACCACATGGGGGCCGACGGAGCTGCTCCAGAGGAGCAGACCATGAGCCTAGAGCCCCTTCACCACTGCCTGCTGTTGCCCCAGAATGCCTGGAGCTCTAGAGAACGCACAGAGCTTATCCATGCCTCTACCCCACAGACAGGCAAACCAGTGCCCAGAGAGTGCAGCGACTTGCCAGAAGTCACTCGGCAAGCACGGCCCCACTCCCGAGTCTGGCGCACTCTCGACTGCGCCACCCTGCCCGCCCTCTGAGGATGCCGCAAAGCCGTGGTCCTGGGAACACCCACCCAGGGAGGCCATTCGCACACCTCCAGCGCAAAGCAGTGCAGCAAGCAGCCTTGGAAATCAACAAGGCAAAGTACTCACGTTGAAGAAATTGGTCTTGTTCCTCTCGCAGAAGAGCCCCTGTGCCGGCATGTGCTGCAGTTGTTGCCACGGGATACCGCTGCCTAGCAACACGTCGCGGGCCCACTGGAGGTTCTGGGGAAACAAGAAGTAGGTTGGAAGTGAGTGTGTGGGCAGCTCGAGGCGCCCACGGGGAAGGGAGGCAGTCCCCTCCTTCCTGGCTGCGTTGGCAGAGCGGCGATGAGCAGCGGCTCCTGCAGACACCGATCCCGCAGCTCCAGGCAGCTCTGGCTGTGGGCTTTGATCATCTGGCTGTGGGGTACATTTCCGGAACTGATTTCCTGCCTAGCACAGCTGACTTAGGAGAGTGTGGCCTCGGATTGCCCAAGAAGGGCACAGATAGGGACCCTGCACCCGGATCAGCCTTGAAAAACTGCTACATGGACCCAGTGCCCCACCTTCTGTCAGGGGAACCCCCGCTGTCCTAAAGGGTCAGCCCTGACTTGTCAGGGTGTCAGCAGTACTTATTGTACCTGGTGACACAGCCACCTTGGGCTTAGAAGAGCTGATCTCTGTAGGACACCAGGGGCCTGAGTACCTGGGAGGGGAGGGGGGCTCCATCCACAGTGCTCAGGCCAGTGCTCTCTGGGCAATGGCGCCTCTTGGAACCCAGGCCCAGGGGGCCTGGTAGGGTGGGAACAGGAGCCTACCAGCCCAAGTGTGAGAGGCTGGGTGTACGCCTGGCTGCCTTGGCCTTCTCTGGGGCCTTGTCACTGACTTAGAGAGCAGCCCTTCCCCACTGCCGACCTGGCCTGCCACCTTCCTCCCTCAGGTCTTTCCCGTGGAGACTCCCATGGCCAGGACCACAGCTAAGCACCCTGCACGCACCATCTCACCCCAGCACCCGGACAGTGTGGTCTTACAAGGGAGAAGCCAGCAGGGGGCAGAGCTGGGACCAGAACCTGGACTTCCCCACACCAGACCCTCCTCTTTCGAGCAGTGCCCACCCTCCCCAGCTAATCAGTACTCCTGCCCTACCCCTATCCAGGTCCCTTCCTTGCCTCTCTCACCCCTCATGCCAGGCCTTTATCACCTCACATCCCAACTGCTTAATGCCTTCTACTTCTTGGCCTGCAAGTCTGTCCTACCTGCTCCCACTCTGCTCACTACTGGTCAGGCTAAACTTAAGAAAGCTCCCCTCATCACAACTTCTGGCAAAAGTGCAAACACCAGCTCCCTGGCTTGCTGGCTTGGAGCCCCCGCTGGCCTGCCCTTGAGCCTCTGCTCCTACCCCTGCACAGAGGGATATGCCACAGGAGACCCGTCGGAGGTGAGGGCTCCTCCACACCCAGCACTAGACAGGACTCCATGGGAGTCATACAGAAACGGGGGACATATAGAAACGAGGGTCCCTCTGAGAGGGAGACAAGTAAAGTTTCAAGCACACATCTCCTGGATGACACCCTCACAGCTAGCTCTTCTGTGGAAGCCCGAGGGAGAGCATCATCTCCTGGGGGAAACCTGGATGATTAAGCCTGGCAGTGACTCTCAGGCCATTTTCTACAGGGACGTGGCCTGGCTCTGGGAGTGGCTGAAGGCTGAGGACCCGTAAAGTCGAGGCTGCCTTTGCCCAGCAGGTCTAAGCAGGTTCAATGTGGGGCTGGGGGCTAGAGGGTCACGGGCAGCCCGACACATATGAGAGCAGGGCCAATCCCAGGTGGACGAGAGGGCACACACTGTCCACAGCCCTCTGCACAGCCAACCCCTCTAGCCTGAACTCGGGAGGCTTGCTGTTTTGCTCAGAGCCCTCCTTGAGCCCAAACACCTGCTCAGACACATCTGACATGTTGAGATCAGGAGCAGGCTGAGACTCTGCCTCTCTTACAGACTCCAATCAAAACACCAAGGCAAGCCCAGAGTAGGAATCACACCAAGGGCCGTGCGGGGGCTGCTCTCGCTGAGGCTCAGCAGCTGTCAGGGAGCAGCAGCCATAGCGATGGTCTCCTGAGACATCACTTCTCCAGCACTCTCAGGTCTTTCTAGGGCCTCGAAGACTGATGCTACAGCCATTCATGGTGAATGATTAGGCTTCCTGAAGGCTGAGGTACCTCCTCTCTGCCCCCTTGTGGGGGAGGCAGAAACAGGCTAAGGAGGGGCTACCTGGGAAGCATCAGTCCCTGACCCTTGACCAGGAGCACAGGGGCCACTCTGCCCCACACAGGAAGAGTGAATACTCAGTCACTCAGTCCCAGCCTTCAACTTTTGAGCTTCAATGCCCCAGGGGGCATGAACCTGCAGTTCACATTCCAATGTCCAGAGCTGTGCCCAGAAGTCTGGCTGAGAGACCCCGCCTCCCAGACCAGTCCATTCAGAAGCCTCCTGAGGTGGGTTACAAGCTTGGCCTGATGCTTCTGCCAGGGGAGGGAGGGCTAGCCATGGACGAACTGAGCAAGAAGCAGGGAAACAGCATGGGTCGGGCGTGCTTCATTACAAGAATAAAATCCAACTCAGATTAGTTCAAGCTGATCAGGGCTCCTCTGGGCTCCAGGACACAGGATTCAAAGAGAAGATAAAGCTTCTAGACCTCCAGCAGGAAGAGCAACAACTCAGGAAGCCCAGGAGTGAGGCTCACAACCTGTATCAGTACTCAGCCATGATCCCTTGGTCTCAGTGCCACTTGGTTCAAAGTCTCTCCTGGGTGAGATGTGAGAGGCTGCCAGTCTAATCAGCCACAAAGGAGACCCTCACAGAAAGGGACGTGAGACAGAAGACCAATACCTGCACTTTGAACATGACAGGTGAGCCCACCTGACCGTGACCATGGAAATAGGGCACAAAGGAGACCCACCTCTGGTCCAGCCTAAGTAGGTCAGCGAAGCCCCTACAGGAGACGACACCAGATGGAGCTGCAGTACACCCAGAGCCATGCCATAAAAGCCTCTTCTGGGGCTCCTTTGGGACTTATGGGAAGTACCCAGTTGACCCCTTTAAAAAGTAGCAGCAGTCTGAGGGGGGTGGGGAAGTAAGGCTCGAAGAAGCATCTCCATGGTGGCTGTTCCTTAAGAACATCAAGAAAATAAGGGCGCCTGGGTGGCTCAGTCAGTTAAGCGTCAGACCTCGGCTCAGGTCATGATCTCACGATTTGTGGGTTCGAGCCCCGTGTCGGGCTCTGTGCTGACAGCTCAGAGCCTGGAGCCTGCTTCAGATTCTGTGTCTCCCTCTCTCTCTGCACCTCCCCCATTCACTCTCTGTCTCTCTCTCTCTTTAAAAAATAAACATTAAAAAAAAAAAAAAAAAAGAACATCAAGAAAATAAAACCCAACAGAGACTTCCATGTGGCTGGGGACATGTGCAAGAGAACAGCACCAGGGCCAGGGTGGAGAGAGTGAGGGGACCCTGCTTCCCTGAGCCAGGTGTCATTCCAGGCACTAAGGCTATGGGACAGGGACACACATCCCTCTATGGCTTCTGTTTCTGCTACCACTCTGCAGCTTCTCCCATGACATCTGCACCAAGATGGCCCTTCCCACTGGAACAGTCAGGTGGAAGGTAGAGGACCAGGAAGGGAGGTGGCTGCGGGAGAGGTCCCAGCACTCTTAGAGACCCGAAAATCAGCCACTTGAGAAGAGTGCAGAAAGCATGGGCCTGCCAAACCCGATCAGGATTGTCAATTAGCCTCCTGCAGACTTGGCCCCCACAGACCGGCAGAGAGCAAGGCTCCCCAGCCATCTCCCTGGACTGCCAGAGAGAGCTGATCGATGGCAAAGGCACACAGTGTCCAGACGGCTCAGAAGAGACCTTAGCTAATGCATGTCTGAGGCCCCGGGTGGGAGCTGATAGCGATAAAGAAACCTACCCAGTAACTGACAAGTGCCAGGCTGGGACGGGAGTGGAGGGGCAGGGAGAGCTGACCCACCATGGCACACCTGTACTGCAGTTTGCCCTGCAGCTTCATGCTATGGGGAGGCGAGAGGCACCAGGCCACCTGGCTAAGAACAGCACAGAACTCCTCATCTTATGTAAGTGCCAGTTTACCAAAGAGGAAACTTAGGCTCAGAGAGGTCCAAGAGTTGGTCCGAGGCCCCCAAGTCAGGAAGTCAGTGGCAGAGCCAGGCTTGCACTCTGGTCCAGGAACGGAGGACTCCAAGGCCTGGACTTTTTATCGTGCACCCTCACCCCAGGGTGGGCAAGTCACTTTACAAATCTGCCTGGGGTCATGCTATGTGCTTGAAGCCTAGCTGGCCACCAGGGACAGCTCCAAGGCAGCCAGGTCTCAGGCCCTGAGCAAGCTGTCAACACGCCACTGGCCCAGAGCCTCGGCTTACTGTCACCTCTGGGAATGGCAGAAACACCATGGGGCCACTTGCCAGATAACAGCACCAATCTTCCTGGGATTCATTGGCCCCCTGAGGCTTAGTGCACACACCCTCCTCTGACAGATGGCAGAATGCACTATGCCCTAACAAGGGGCAGATGGAGGGCAGAGCCCTGCTGAGAGGCAGGGAGAAGAATCCCCAAAAGCATATGGTACCTCAGTGTCCTCCACCGCCTGTTGCCTGGCATAAGACAGAGGGACCCTCCTGACTCCTCTGCTTGAAGGCCTCAGCTCCCTCAGAGTGAGAGCCAGCTCCATACCTCAGTTTACCTGCACACACTCAGGCTCATCTCTCTCCTTCCCCTCCCCCATCATGTGTGGCTCTCTAGCCACACTTACCTCTGCCCCTACTTTGGTCCCTGCAGGTCTCTCAGCCAGGCACCATCTCACCCCACCCCCACCAGCCCCCCTAATACCGTCCCCACAGTCCCATGGTCACCTTAAACAGCCTCTTCTGCTGACTCTCTGATGCTTTTGCTGTCTGCCCCCTCTCATCTGTCAGCCCTGTGAGGGCAGGAGCACCATGTGACTTCTTGACTGATGGCTCCTCAGGGGCTAGGTCAGCAGGGGTCCACAGAAGGAATACGACAGATATTGTAAAAAGAGTGAAAGGAGCGAGAAGGTCTGAAGTGCTGAGAAAGGAAGGTACGGCAGTATGTGGGGGGATGGGGGGTGCGCCCAGGACTGGTGCGCCCAGGACTGGAGGCAGGAGTGCTGGGACAGAACCATCACCCTGGGCTCCTTTATTCAAGGAATCTATAGGAAAAGGGACTGCTTGGGAACTCATGTGCTGGGCAGACTGGAGCATGAAGTCCGTCTTTCAAGACACCCTTCTCTGTTCTTCCTTCAAAACAGTAATTCAGAAGCCCTAGGTTTGCCTGGCAGTTGTCCACAAGGGCATGCAGTGAGTGGTACACAATGAAGTTTGTTGAAGGAATAAATGAACGAGTGCCTGGCAGTCTTGGGAGAGTCCTATAGCCTCCTGGAGCCCTGGTTGCCCACTTGAAGGATGCGGGTGGCGGTGACCATGAGGCCACTCTTAGGGTCAGTTGGAGAACACCAACGATAGCAGAGGAAAGCAGCTGTCTACAAACGCACTAAGTTCCCCACCTGTGTCCTGGGGAGAGCACCCCTGCCCATGCAGCCCCCTCCCCCTGCCAAGCCGGGCCTTCTCACATCTTCTCCAAGAACCTGGACTTGCCCTTGAACTTGGCAAAGTGTGCCAGTGCTCATCCTCTGCCCTCCCCACACCGACCTGAAGAGCCAGGACAGAGGTGCACCCCCTGCTGCTGGGTGGGTCTGACCAGCCAGCGGCACCAGTGGGAGAGCAGAGAGTAGGGCAGGGATGAGAGCAGAGCATTTATCCTGAGCTCCCTCCCCCCCGCCTGTGCTGAGGGTCGGCCACCAAGGACCAAAAGCTCTGACAGGCAGCCTGCAGCTGAGGCGCCCCAGGGCTGGCCCAGGGCCCTGCACTAGCCCTGCCCTGTGGGTTCCTGGTCTCCACCCAGGCCACTGTAAATGCCTCCTTCATTAAGGCTCTTCGGATTAGCAGCAGGATGGAGTCATCGAAGGCCTGTGACTGGCAAATCCCTTTACTCTCTACACAGCAGCCAGTCTTTCACACACAACCTTGTGGTAGCTCTCACCTCACTTCAAATGCTGCCCCACAACTCCCCCCTGCCCGATCAGGCCCTCAGGAGCTCTGACTGCATCTTCTTCCCCTCTCCTCGCTGCCCAGCCGGTCACACGGGCTTCTGGCCCACCAGGGCCGCTCCTGTCTCGAGGCACATGTGTTGGCTGTGTCCACCCAGAAGCCTCTCCTTTGGCTAGTTCCCTCACCAGCTTCAGGTCTGTGCTTAGAGAGGCCTTCCCAGACCTCCCTGCCTAAATAGCCGCACTCCCCCACTGCACCCCCTTAGCAGCTTTCTCTTTCTTCCAGACACATCATTAACCGCCATCAGGCATGTTTCTACTCTCCATTCCCTCTGTGTGCACTCGAGGGGAGGGGTTTTGCTGTGTACACCACTGTATCCCAGCGCCTCACACAGGGCCTGGCACGTGACAACACAGGGGACAGCTGCTGAATGAATGAACCCGCAGAGATGCATAGGAACCATGCCGAGGGGGCAACGAGGGGACGACACTAAAATACAAGGAGTTCTGCCACGTAGTGGTCTGCGGGATGATGAGGTGGTGGTAGTTTGTTTTCTTTCCAAACTGAGTATTATCTGTACCGGATGCTGCTAGTGGAGTACTCAACCCATTCGAACTGTTGGGATCCAGATCCCTCCTCTTTCCTGAGAGAGGACAAGGAAAGCAGTGGGCCTAATGCAGACCATCGGTGCTCTCTCTTCTGACACCCAAAGGTACAGCAAAATCTTCAAACCATGTTGCAGAGACTTTGGAATGCATTATTGAGATCCCAAAGTTGAGAAAAATCTTCAGTTTCATTTTGTAAATCACAGAAAGCTTAACAAGAGCCTGGCTGGCCAGGATGTGCGGCAGCCCAGGGCTTCTGTGTGGGAAGCCTGGGGCACAGCATCGTTTTGCATATACAGAAAGGGAACAGGGACTGAAGGGATGGTCAGCATGTCCTCCTCATGCCTGGTCCTGCTGTCTGGCCGGGAATGCCACCTGTTCCTGGGACACTGAGTTGCATGTATGCAGCAGGATCTCGCAGGCTGTGCCGAGGGCGGCTGTGTCACAGCCTGGAGGACTCCCTTCACACCCACCCAGTCAGATAGTACACAGCCTTCCTCACGGACCCTCTTGTTTAAGCCAGCTCTGCAGGTTCCACACGTGCCAGTGGCACAGGCGGGTGGGAAACTACCCACGACAGATGGCTGAGGGCAGAGGTTCACAGCCCAGCTGGCCAGACTCTTGCCCTAGCTCACACCAGGGCATAAACTGACTCCCAAGTCAAATGTCAGTGACTTTTCTGGAGATTACAGGCAGAAGCAGTACTGCTGGGACTCTTCTGGTAGGAGGTAGCTTCAAACCAAACAAGTCCTAAACAGACACTGGGGCCTGGGCTCACCCCACAAAGGCTCTGGGCCAGAGGAGTAGGTATGACTAGGCCAGAGCGGCCAGGCCACCATCCCGCCATATGCCATCAGGAGGATGCACTGTAACAGGGCTTGGCCACGATGCTGTGTAGCTGCCTGCGGGAGTACACTGGGACAGGGACAGAGCACTGCTCAGAGTGAGTGGCCTCTGCTCCCATCAAAGCGGAGTGCATGTGGGGCTTGCAAGACAGGCTGCTCTTGTCATTGGTATATATGCTTCCCAGCTGGCAAAAAAGCATTAACTCACTTTTCCTCACAAGAAAACCTATAACCAAGGTGCTGTTATCTCCACTTGACAGCTTAAGAAACCTGTCCACAGGACTGAAACTGGAAGCCAGTTGGCTAGCTGGCTGAGTACAAGTGAGGTTCTGGGAGCTGGCCCTCGGGAGGGGTGGCTCAGGTTCCAGGATGCGTGCTGGCAAGGGGACAAGTGGTGGGACGGGGAGGCACTCTAATCATAGGGTCTGGGAGTCATGCCTATGATCAAAGCAGGCTGAGTAGCCCCTTCCCCATCTCACACCTCAGGTTCCTGAGCAATCCTCACCTGGGTGTCACCTCTTGGTGACAACAGGGTGCTAACTGTATCTGAGAGCTGCTCCGGCTGCTGTGTGTGAAGCCACACAGCAAAAGGTGGGTTTCATCCCACAGCAGAGCCAGCAAGGCTCACGCCCGTCCAGGAGAGTGGGAGGAAAACCTTTTGGCCACGCACAGGTCGAATGAAGGCCAAGCCTTGACTCGGGCAGTGCTGGGGCCAGATGAGCAGAGTCCCAGCCCGGGGCCCAGAAACTGGCTGTCTGCCGAGCCCCAGGAAGGTGGCCTCTCCCATAGAACAGGCCCTTCTCCTCTCCTTCCTCACTTCCAGCTCCAGCTCACTACCTGACTCCGGCCACACTGACCAGCAGCAGCCCAATTACTGTGTGGCCACCGCTGTCACAGGGGGCTGGTAGGACAGCCTTGCTTCTGCTAAACCACCAGCCTGTCACACAAGGGCTCTTAGTAAACATTTCCTGGTTCAGCCTGATGCTGCCAAGCAGCTGCCATGGGGCTTTAGCAAGAAGCTGGGCATCCACACACCTGGCCAGGTGAAGGACCTAGGCTAGGCCTCAGTCTCTCCCAAAAGGAAAGTAGAAGCAGAATAAAGATCTGAGTCCTAGAGGCCCTCATCAGCTGGCCAACTCCTCCGGGCAGAGTACAGGCCCTGCAACATCCTCACCAAGGGGTCTGAGACAAGCTGCTATCCCCTCTGAGCCTCAGTTTCCTGCTCGCCCTGCTGGGCAGGGTGCTGTGAGAAACAATACTGAGGAGCTGCCCGGGCCGGCCTGTCTCCACTCCACGCTGGTGTATGCTTCTCAGCCTTTCTCTTAAGACATCAAGTGACCTGGGAGGACCACAGGAGCAAAGAACAGGAAGAACATTCCCCAAGTTAAGACCGAACGACAAGCACAAAACGAAGAAGTTTAGGCAAGGCAGTAACCCAAACAAGAGGCCCCTCCACAGAGGAAACCAGCCCTGGAAAGCACCACCAGTGTTCACAAACTCTGGTCTCTATACAGGAGACACAGTCCTGGTGCCCAACTCCCTTGTCCCCCCCCAGAACTGCCAGCAGGGCAGTGGCTGCTCCTGCACCCCCAGACCCCCAGCAGGAGAGGCTGCCAGCCTAGCAGGTGTGAAGTGGTATCTCAACGTGGTTTGGATTGACATTTCCCTAATGGCTAATGGTACTGAGCATCTTTCCTGTGCTTATTTGCCATTTATTGTATATCTTCTTTGCAGAAATGTCTATTCAGATCCTTTGCCTCCTTTTACATTGGGTTGGCTTTTAATTATTTAGTTGTAAGGTTTTGGGTTTTTTTTTTTTAATATATTCTAGGTACAAGTTCCTTACCACATATAAGCATACTCAGAGATATTGTGGATTCAGTTCGAGTCACAATAAAGTGAATATCAAAATAAAGTGAGTCAAATGAACTTTCTGGTTTCCCAGTGCATATAAGATTTATGTTTATGCCATACTATAGTCTATTACGTGTCAACAACATTATGTCTAAAAAAACCCAACGCATATATCTTAATTTAAAAATACTTTATTGCTAAAAATTGCTAACCACCATGTGAGCTTTCGGCAAGTCATAATAACTGATCACAGATCACTATAATAATAACGAAAAAAGTATGAATTTTTGCGAGAATCACCAAAATGTGACACAGAGACACAAAGTGACCAAATGCTGCCAGAACAGTGCCAAAAGACTTGCCCAACACAAGGTTGTCACAAACCTTCAATGTGTAAAAAACACAGTATCTGCAAAGTGCAGTCAAGTGAAGCACAGTAAAACGAGGTGTGCCTGCGTGTGTCCTATAAATATTTCTCCCTTTCTGTGGACCATCTTCGTTTCAGCAATGTCCTTTGAAGCATGAGCTTTTAATTTTGATGGTGTCCTGTTTATTATTGTTACTACTGTATTATTTATTTGTTATTTGTCACCTGTGCCTAGTCCAAGGTCATGAAGATTGACATCTATGTTTTCTTCTAAGAGTCTTAATAGCTTTTAGCTCTGAAGCTTAGCTCTCTGATACATTTTGAGTTCATTTTTGAACATGGTGCGAAGCAGGAGTCCAACTTCATTCTTTTGCATGTGGATATCCAATTATCCCAGCACCATTTGTTAAGAAGACTGTCCTTTCCTCCACTGAAGTATCTTGGCACCCCTGTCAAAAATCAATTGACCATAGATGTATGCCTTTGTTTCTGGGCTCCCAGTTCTATTCCGTTGATCTATACATCTATGCTTAAACTAGTACCACGCTGTTTATTTTTTTTAATTTTTCTATTTATTTTGAGAGAGACAGAGACAGCACAAGTGGAGGAGGGCTAGAGAGAGAGGGAGAGAGAGAATTCCAAGCAGGTTCTGCACTGCCAGCACAGAGCCCGATGCAGGGCTCAAACCCACGAAACCACAAGATCATGACCTCAGCGGAAACCAAGAGTCAGATGCTAAACCGACTGTGCCACTCAGGCACGCCCACACTGTTTATTTTCAATTGTGGCACAAAACACCTAAAATTTATCCTCTTACCCATTTTATTTATTTATTCATTTATTATTAAGTTTATTCATTTCTGAGAGAGAGAGACAGACAGACAGAGTGTGAGCAGGGGAGGGGCAGAGAAAGAGAGGGAGACACAGAATCCAAAGCAGGCTCTAGGCTCTGAGGTGTCAGCACAGAGCCCGACGCGGGGCTCAAACCCATGAACCGCAAGATCACGACCTGAGCCGGAGTCGGAGGCTCAACTGACTGAGCCACCCAGGTGTCCCTCATCTTAGCCATTTTAAAGTGTACAGTTAAGTAGTGTTAAATATATTCACTTTGCTGTGCAACAAATCTCTAGAACTTTTTCATTTTATCAAACTGAAACTCTATACTGATTAAACAATTCCCATTCTCTCTCCTAACCCCTGACAACTACCACTGCACTTTCTGTCTCTCTGATTTTGACTACTTTAGATCCCTCACTATATGGAATCATCTAGTGTTTGATTTTTTGTGCTGGGCTTATTTCACTGAGCATAGTGTCCTCAAGGTTCACCCACATTGTAGCATGTATCAGAATTTCCTTCTTTTAAGGCTGAATAATATTCCACAGTTTTTGATTACTATAGATTTGCAGTAAGTTTTGAAACCAGGAAGTGTGAGTCCTCCAAGTTTGTTCTTTTTCAAGACTATGGCTCTAGGGACCATCTTATAATTCACTCTCCTAGACCACTTGTGGCAGGAGGTGCTGAAGGGCTCAGTTCCCCAGCTGAGCCACAGACAGCAGGTAGGGGGAACCAGGACAGGGGCACCCATGCCTCAGTCTTCTTTCTGGATCCCATTAGTGACTTTCAGAACTCTCAGGATGAAAGGTCCCAATGCCATGTGGTTTCCCTCCTGGGCTGCTCAGGTGGACTCAAGGACACAGGTTTTTCTAAGCATGGACTGACAGCACAGGACTCAAAATCCTGGAGAAGAGTGTAATCTTGGTGATTGTAAGTGATGCAATAGCTAGACTTAGGGCCCTTATGGCCATCAGCATGTGTGATCTTCCCTAAGGTGTGGAGAGCTCTAGGGAGTCCTGCTTCCTCAGGTGCCCCTGGCCCTCGGTGGAGGATAGTGGGAGGCCCACCTTGGGAAGTGCAGGGGCTAGCCTGTGCCCAACAAAGCCAGCCTTGGGCAGGAGGGCGGCCTTAAACAGGCATCAAGGGTCCCTGAGGGGTGGATTCAGCCCTCAGAAGGTCTAGTGGAGAGACCAGGAGCCATGGGAGATGCTGACATTAAGGAAATGGGCTCTGGAGTCCTGGGGAGAGGCCCAATGGCAGGGGAGAGGAGGAATCTTGGCTGAGGGCCAGTGTATGGGGCCCCAAACCCCCACCTCACTGTCACAATAATTCTGTGCAAGTATCAAAAGAGAGGAGCCCCCCACCCCTGCAGAGCCAGGATATGAACCCAGGCGAGCCCACATTCGCTCCCCCTCCCCCAGAAATTCTGCTGCCAGCAGCTAAGCAAGTGGCTCCCTGTGTCCTGAGGGCAGTCTCTCCATAAAGGCCTGGAATGGGAAGGGGGGGGGGGGCTCTGAACTGAACAGAGCTTTAGCTGGGGGCACTTGAAAGACCTGAGGGATCCAGAGTCAATATGCACAGCCCCCGGGGTCTCTCTGAAGGCAGGGATGATGGATGTTCCTGCCAGTTGGCCACTGAGCCAGAAGATGGCAATAGGAAAATGCCACTGCCAAGCCCACAGGCGGATTTTATGAAGAAATGTGTTGCTGTTAAATATATACAGCAGGAAGCATTTGTTACCAAACAGCTGTGTTTGGAAAGCCGTCGCTGCTTGTCAGCTAATGGTTCTGCATTAGTCAGTGAGAGCACCAGTTGTGTCCCCCAGATCTGTGGACAAGCTGATACCCAGGCCCCAGGACAATGGCATGTCCCAGACAGGGTCAGCCCCAACTCAGGCTCTCAGTGCAGTGAGGTGTTAACAACCTACCATTCAAGTTGGGGTGACACCTGCTGCTCAGCAAAGGTCTCTGAGTGAAATAAGCAAAGAAGCCAGTGGCGCTGCCTGGATGCACGGGGCCTAGGGTGTGGCAGCCTGGAGAGCTCCCGAAGCATACCTGGCACCCACACACAATTGCTATGTAAGGAAGGGGATCTCTTCCGGAATCAAGACCAGCATTCCATTTCAGAAAGCCAAGGAACCCAACCTGGAAATGCAGCTAACAGAAGAGCCGTGACAGAAACAGAGCTTGATGGCTGTGCAGGGTTTTCTGGGAAGGAAGCCAAGGCAGCCTCCATTCCCACCAACAGGGACGGCTGGATTGACCGGGATCCACCCTCCCTGTAGACCATCAGGATGACCAAAATGACCTGGGGGACATTCGACGAAATAGCAAAATGGCAAACTGAGCATGGATGCTCTAATGGTGGGGTAAGTAGTGGAGCAGCTAGGCTGGGGCGAGACTACCCAAGCCAGTCCCAGGCTATCACTCACCCCTGTGTGACCCTGAGCCAGGTATCTAGATGGAAAGTGGACAGAACAAGATCCCCACCTCCTCGGCCTGAGTACTTAGAGCCTCAGAAGTGACAGTCAATGGTGTGTGTGCCCGAGAGCTGGGAAATAACACACAAAATGGCTTTTGTTTTAGGCTAGCAGAGCTGTGGCTATCCCCTCTCTAATGTTTTTGACATAGATGCTGCTTTCTACTTTTAAAAAACTCACCCAGCAAGGGGACAGGTTGTGAAAACAGCACTATGCTTGGTACCGGGTGGGGCCCTTTACATGCACTGGTCCTTTGCGCTCAGACTAAAGCCATTTAATGGGGCTCTCCCTCAAATCTCTCTCCATCCAACCCCACATCTTCCCCTCCTTTCCACAGTGGCTGGTCCCTAATAGGCATCTTGCACTCCAAATTCTGTCATGGCATCGGCTTCTGGAGAAGGCCACCTGCTACTGTGTGGGGAAGATTTGGCTCACCCTGGGAAACTCCAAGTCCTGCTAAGAGCTGACCCCAGCTGGCAAGGGCTGCACAACTGCTTGGGGGAGCATCTGAAGAGGGGGATGCCCAAGGTTGGGGAGATCCAGATGATGGGTGCCAGTGTCCCTTCCAACTGAGACTCATGAGAGTTCCTGCGCTGGGCTCTGCTGCTCCCAAAAGAGGAAAAGAAGGAAAGTTCCCAAAGCAGCACCGGAACATGGTAGGGGGCAGGGGCAGTGTCAGCCACCCCTGAAGATTGCTGCAGAGGAGGTTTTATTAAAACCCAGGTCTGCCTGCCTGGGTTCAGAAGGCCTAGGGCACTAGAGGTAAGGTCCACTGCAAAATACAGGCTGTGCATGGAGGGACCCAGGCTGAGGCATGGCAGTTGCAGCCAGAAAAGTCAGATGCTCTGGAGAGACAATGCTCAGAGTGAGACCCCTTCCTTCACCAAGCCTGCCAACACCAGCTCCCCCTGTTCTGCTCTGACAAAAACCAACCAAACCCTGTGAGCATTTTGGGCAGATACAACTGTGACAGGGCACCTACCTGTGCCTAGCCCCCAAACAGAATTCTATCAAGTAACAACTTCCTGTCATGTAACCATTGCCAAGCCAAGATCCATCTCTCTGGCCAATTGTCCTTCCTGGTTCTTCAAAGGTCCCACAGAGGCTGGTGAGAAGGGGCCGGCAGAGGGCCTCTGGGAGGAAGATGTTTCTGAGCCAGGACCTGACTGAGTAAGGAAGCCAGATGAAAATAGAGACCACAGACAGACTCCAAAGGCTGCCCCTGCTTAACCCCACCACCCCGGCCCTCTCTGGCCTTTGCCCACACCAGTTTGGCTCACCCAACACTGCCAAATGCTCAGGCAATCTGCCTGATCTGGGCTCTCTCCCTGTCCTCCAAACTGCCACTGTCCCCCACTCTGCCACGGCCACCCTACAGGTTTCAGATTAATGGGTGCCTTCATGGTGCCAGAGCAGCACCCCCACTCCTGTGTGTATCCCATTATCTTCTCTTTAGCATGTGTCACAATGGGACTAGCTTTATTTGCTTGTTTCCGTGTTTTACAATCTGCCTGTCCCTTAGAATGTACCTCCATGGGGGCAGGCACCATGACCAGGACACTGTCTCCAGTGCCTCCCGGGTAAGTGAAGAGTGAAAGAACACACATGCCACACTCCCTGCACACATGCTACCTGCCAGCAGAAGCCGTCTGGCTGGGAAGTCCCTGAGAGAGCTTAAGCCTGGGGCACAGCTGTTAAGAATCGCTACATCATCTGCTTTCCAAAAAGAGCTGGAGGAGGCTGTCGGCACCCAACCCCCATGCAGCAGAGGCTGTGAAGATGGTTCTGGCAGCTGTACTGGAGAGGCGAGCCCAGGGGCAGGATGATGGTGAGGAGGCCTCTCCGCAAGATGCGGCCAGAGGGGACAGAGCCTGCAGCAAAGCCCTGGGCCAGAGAGGAGGGGGATCTCTATAGGGCATCTGGGGATATGCCTGTGGGGCCATGCTGAGGAGGACAGGTGAACAGAAGTGGAGAGGAAGCCGGACAGTGGAGTAAGAGTCGCCACACTGGCCCTCACAGGCAAGAGCTGATGAGCCTGTAGGCCCTCACCCTTCAGCCCGCAGCAGTACCTGAGCCTGTGATCTTGCTTTGGGAGCAGCCCCTATACCCGCTCCTCCCTTGATCCCTCCTGTGACCCGTGGTCCTCACCAACTCTCACCTGGAAAGCTGGACCACTCTCGTGTGGACTCACCTCCTGCATCTCTCCTGTCCCACCCCTCCCATGCACCGCTACCCAAGACCTTTGGCAGCTCCCACCTGGGTTTGTTCTGCCCACCGACACTCAAGAGATGCTCCTGGGCCCTGGGAAGATCAAACCCCTCTCCCGCCCCCCATGGGCTGGCAGCTCGCTCACCCGGTGGGTCTTGCTGTAGGTGTAGAGGAAGGCCAGTCGGTAGAGGCTCTTATAGTGCTGGGGGAAGCGGCTGAGGCACAGGCGGAAGGAGGCAATGCACTGCTCGGTGAGGAACTGGCGCTGCTCTTCTGCCCCAGCCGGCAGCCCCTGGGGAAAGGCTGTGGGCTCCCCCAGGGTGTCCGCTCTCTTCCTCCCGTCCCACAGGGCAGGTGCAGATGCTGGGGGTTTGGCAGCAATGCAGGCAGAGGCCGGGGGGTCTGCAGCAGGCTTCTGGCTGCCTTGCTCTGTGGCCCGGAAGCCTTCCGTGCTCTCCAAGGACTCCTCAGTTTTCCCTGTGGGTGAGAAGAAAAAGAAAGTCACCTCAGTTTTAATCCCTGCCCCCGCAGGAGTAAGGAGTAATCTTACTGAGGTGAAAGGCACAGCTAAGTCTGTGCCCTTGCTACGCAGCTGCTGGACCCAACAGACCCAGTAGGAGGCATGGGGCCTGGTGCTGGCTCTGCCCCTGCTGGCTGAGGCCTCCATAGCCTCCCACTCTCCTCCCCTGTGAAACAGGATGTCCCAGCTGGCATGCAGCAGAGGGGCCCCGAAGCTGCAGACGGTGGGGGTGGCAAGCGGGGCTCTGAGTCCCCCCTCTGAATGGCAGCACAAGGCTGTCCCGCCTCCTAGGCCTATGCAGGTGCATGGGGAAGCAGTCCACAGAAGGAAGGTGTGGCTGCCACAACCATGGAATAAAACAGCCAGGAAAGGCACACAAAGAACTGCACCTGCTCTGCCGCTTAGCACCTCTGCCCACAGCCTACCCGACATCCTTCTCCAGAGCTGCTGCTGCTAGTGTGCGTGAACCAAGAGCTCACACACAGGAGAGCCCAAGCTGGGTGGCAGGGGCTGCAGGAGAAGGAGACTGGCCCAGGAGGGAAGGATTGAAGGAAGAGGATGGGGGCAAGCAGTGAGGGGAAGGTGGCCTGTCAGGCACCCAGGAGTTTGGCAAGGCCTGCCTGGAGGAGGCCAGAGAAGTAGCCCAGCACTAATGCTGAAGCCTGTCAGCCACTGTGGGCTGAGCTCCTTCCTGTCCTCAGCCTGTCAACCTTTTCCAACTGTAGTGGCAGCCAAAAGGAGGCTGGGGCCTGCTGCGGTAGGGAAGAGTGGTCAAGGACTAAGGTCCCAAGTTCCCCTAAGCAAAACCATCATCAGGTTTAAGCAAAAAGACATCAGGTGCACATCGAGTTCTTTTTGCTAAGGAAAGAATCTGAGCAAGACAGAGCCAAGCTGCTCATCACAGCACGCAAGGCTACCTCCTGTCAGTCCTGTCATCCCTCCTACCTACCCTCTGGGCCTCACACCTTGAAACCAACCATTGGGAACATGGTTGTTCCCACTGGGAACACTGTTGTTCCTTTTGGACTCACCGTCTGCACACCCTCCCCTGCCTCACCCACTCGCTCTCATCCTTCAGGACTCCACTCACTGTCACCTTCTCCTGCAGGCCTCCTGGGCCCCAAGGTGGGGTTTGCAGAGTGCCTTGTGTGCCCACCTCTCTGATGTCACCCATCCCACTGCATTTATGCACGGGTGTCTCCCCCTCCCCCACTGCCCAGAGCCTAGCACAGGGTCTAGTTTGAAGCCGAATGAATGACTGAAAAGCAGGTCACATCTGATCTTGACACTGTGCTCTCTTCTCAGGGGAGCTCAGGAAACCACTTAGGTCCCACAGGCACCCCACTCAGGGCACAATGACAGCAACTAGGAGTCTGCTCAGGGCTGGCATCTTACGGGGACACCACTGCCTTACAAATGTGCCTGATTTCTAGTGTTCAATTCAAGGGACACATTTCAAATGTGGCTCAACAAACACGTTCTCAACGACTCTGGGCCCAGCCCTATGCTAGGCATAAGGGAGATGGGGAAATAGGATGAAGATAAAGACCTCCCAAGGGCTCAGATAAGGTGCTAAGTGTGTGCTCACACACAAAGACACACAGGAACACATCTCCTATGGAAAGTGAGCACAGGGTCAAGAATTTATCCAAAGAGAGGTCAGAAGGCATGTCTGAAAACACGTTAAAAAAGGGAAACGGGGCGCCTGGGTGGCGCAGTCGGTTAAGCGTCCGACTTCAGCCAGGTCACGATGTTGCGGTCCGGGAGTTCGAGCCCCGCGTCAGGCTCTGGGCTGATGGCTCGGAGCCTGGAGCCCGTTTCCGATTCTGTGTCTCCCTCTCTCTCTGCCCCTCCCCCGTTCAAGTTCTGTCTCTCTCTGTCCCAAAAATAAATAAACGTTGAAAAAAAAAATTAAAAAAAAAATAAATAAAATAAAAAAGGGAAAAAAAGTAGTGATGCCAGAGTGAATGAAAAACCTAGCTACTCAGGGATTTGGGTGGCCTGAAGAGGTGCAGGAGACATGGGTGATGTGCCTCACACACAGTGTCCACTCCACGGCTGAAAGAGCCTCACAGGTCACATTAGTGGAAGAAAGGGGGGAAGTCAGAAACGTCAATAAGCCCACACAGTGCTTCCCAGCTAGGATGCCTAGTCCTAACCCTGGCAGCATAAAAGTGAGAAGACTTCGTCCTAAAGATAAAAAGCAAGCAAGGCAATGCTCTGGCCACTCTGGTGCTGCTGCTGGCAATGAGGACTGGCTTAGCATGCCCAGAGTGCACACATCAGGCCGCTTCCCACTCTGCCACTGCCACCCCTGCCTTGTGCAAGGCACTCAGGCATCATCACCAGGCCTCTACTTGACCTAGAAGAGGCAGGTGCAGCCATGGGATGGTGGTCCCTGAACAAAGTGGCTGGTAGCTGTACCAGCACCCTTGGCCCATATCCTGCCCCGGGTTTAGGTAGCAGGGAGGGCCCGGGCTGGGCACCCGTGTCCACTGTCAGGACCACATAGGCTGTTGACAAACTATTCTGCTGAGCTCAGAGAGAGTCAGCCGTAATTAACAGAGTTCGCTTCTGTTTAGAGAATGAAATTTGGGCAGCTTTTCCCTCTATTAAAAAAATAAACCTTCAGACTTAGTCTGGGTCTGGGTGGCTTAGTCGGTTGAGCGTCTGACTCTTGATTTCAGCTTAGGCCATGATCCCAAGATCATGGGATCAAGCCCCAGGTCAGGCTCTCTCTCCCTCTGCCCCTCTCCCTGACTCACGTGCTCTCTCTCTCTAAAAAAATAAAATAAAATAAAATAAAATAAAATAAAATAAAATAAAATAAAATAAAAAAATAAAATAAAATAAAATAAAATAAAATAAAATAAAATAAAATAAAATAAAATAAAA